CACATCTGCACACACACACATCTGCACACACAAAGAAGGAGTCTCGGCTAGTATAAGCTATAATGCGTGTGAGGATGTTGGAGGTGGAGATTTATAGCCTTTTCTCACAGCACTTGATTAATTAAACTTATCAATTTGATGGCGGATCCAGAAAGGTTCAAACGACGATCACCAGCGACAACAGATTCACCCGCTGTAAAATGCAAAAGACTTGCGGCCCATGCGAAAACAAGGATACATATCGGAAGGACATTACATGTAGTCACGCAATGCTGACGTTGTTAACATTAACAATTTGAGAACAAAGTAAATTTGCACGGTTTTGCGTGATATGATCAGAGATTGTTAGCTTTAATCAGCGCGTTTTACTGCAATGTCAGAACCAGAACAAAAGTGGATGTTACTCACTTGTTCAGATGACATTTTCCGGTGAAAATTATTATGTTGGTCATACTACCAAAAATAATAAATCTGTGATTCTGAATGCCAGTATCGACACCGGCGGCGACTGACAGACACACACTCTCCTCAAACACTGTGTTCATCCGCGCTGTGCCGTGTCGAAGTACAACTCACGTAAAGTTGATAATTCCGTGAATGACTGTGATTACAGATTTCGAACAGAGATGGCGACAAAGAGGGAAAACTGCGGACTGCAGCTTTAAAGAAAATCATATTGGCGGACAGAAAGTTCGGCCGACTATAGCAAAATTGGTTTCTATGTTCTCTGCATGACTCAAGGAATCTATTAAGAACAGATTCATTACAATAGGCTAATTTAATTTATTAGTAGGGCTGCACGATTAATCGCAATTTCCATGTAATCGCACTTAAACCGATTTGGCCCAAATACAAAGCATCAACATTAAAGGGATAGTTCACCCAAAAATGTAAACTCTGTCAGTAATTACTCTCCCTCATGTTGTTCAACCCCGTAAGACTTTCGTTCATCTTCAGAACACAAATTAAGATATTTTTGATTAAATCTGAGAGCTGTCTCACTCCTCCATAGGCTTCTTAAGGGATCGAAACTGCCCGGCCCAAAAGTTATTTTATAGTAGTCCGAGTGACTACAGCGGCTCAACCTTAAGTTTATCAAGCGACGAGAATACTTTTTGTGCGCAAAAAACAAACAAAAATAATGACTTTATTCAACTAATCATTTCTTTCTCTGTAGTGAGCCTACGTGTGACGTACAACACAGAAGCTTTGCGCAGTTACACTACGTGAAATATCACGGCCCACAGAGAAGGAAATGAATAGTTGAATAAAGTCGTTATTTTTTATTTATCTTTTTTTGCACACAAAAAGTATTCTCGCCGCTTGATAAACTTAAGGTTGAGCCACTGTAGTCACTCGGACTATTTTAACGATGTCTTTAATAACTTTTCTGGGCCGGCAAGTTTCGATCCCTTAGAAGCCTATGGAGGAGTGAGACAGCTCTCAGATTTAATCAAAAATATCTTAATTTGTGTCCCGAAGATGAACGAAAGTCTTACGGGGTTGAACAACATGAGGGAGAGTCATTACTGACAGAGTTTACATTTTTGGGTGAACTAACCCTTTAAAGGGGTCATATAATGCCATTTTTGTACAAGCTAGTATGATTCTTTAGGGTCTAAATTAAAAGTTTGTAATATACTTTAATTAAAAATTCTCATTAGTATTGTAAGAAAACACTTATGTACAATAGATGAACATGGAGGCCCACATAACAGAAGATGGTGATGTTGTTGTAAAACCTTTATTTTAAAAGTTAAATGTTTATATAAAAATTACAACTAATAAAAACTAACAAAAAAGCAAGAAATTGTTAAATAATAATAAAACCAATTTTTAAAAAGTAATAATTTTTTGGTCAAAAACAGCTCTGTTTTCAGCACGCCGTTTCAGTGCATATGACTTTAAATGATAATGAGCTTTTCTGAGTTTTTACTAGAGTTTTAAAAAAAAAACACGAGTCACGACGCATTGCATTATGCATCTGAATTGCCGGCTGATGATATTTAAAACATCGAGAAAACACGAATACTGCACTTGGATGAATAAATGTATTCGCTTTATTTAATAATATTACCAGTTCCATATTATCTTTATTAAAAAATAAGACAATGAATGGTTTTATTTTTTGAATTAGACTGCATTCTTGTCAATTTCTAAATGTTTACTTTTTGATTTATGAATTATAACAGACTGATGGGGGAAAAAAAAATATTACTTTTTAAAAATTGGTTTTATTATTATTTAACAATTTCTTGCTTTTTTGTTAGTTTTTATTAGTTGTAATTTTTATATAAACATTTAACTTTTAAAATAAAGGTTTTACAACAACATCACCATCTTCTGTTATGTGGGCCTCCATGTTCATCTATTGTACAGTATATGATATTGATGGAGGGTGGTGGGGGCCCACATCAATATTTTTTCAGGGGGCCCCGAATCCTCTAGCTACGGCCCTGTATGATGGTTGTGTACAGGCACTGCCAACACACATTTCAGTACAATCAACTTGTAAAAGTGCATGTACCATTATATGACCCCTTTAAAATATTATTTTGATTATAACTGATCCTGGAATATGAGTCAAGGTTATTCTGACAAGATGTGCGTTCTTAAAGGCAACAGACCAAAAACCAATGAAGGGGAAACAAATTGAAACACCATCTGCGGTATAATCTTAAAACGACGAAGAAAAAAAAAACTATTTCCTGACTTCAAAATCTTCTCAGTGCTTTCCTGTTATAAGAAAGCGCTCCTTTTATCCATGAGACGGCCTAATCTCTTCTTAAGGGGATATAACTGACACATGCCTCAGGACATACTAACCCTGAGTTATGCAACATTTTCCACATTAAATATTAAAAAGGATTTTGGCTGATCTCCTACCTGTAGCCTATATACGAGTATATTTTCAGTTCTCATGGCTAAATAAGGGACTGCGGTTGATCCTCGAAGTATTTTTGTGCCAGTCTGGCAAGTTGTGCAACATCGAGGAATTACAACTGATTAAAATCAGCTCTTTTGTTTTTTGTTTATCAGTGCCAGAGATTTCGGTTCAAATGCTCTTGGCCTTGTGAAGAGAAGCGTCCTCTGAGCTGCGCTTCCTTCTCAGGGTCGACTTTCTGATGTGCACTACATTTGGGGAAACTTTCTCACGCTATGAAAAGAAGATACTTGCCACAATGAAATAAGGTTGGAGAGTCTTGGCAAGCTTCAAACTAAACATTTGCAGAGTCGAGGCATTTGCATACTTTGCAGACACTGAATGGGTGAATCTCACAAAACCTTCCCAGATCATATTTCACCTAAAATTCTAAAGAAAGAAATGACATGTTTTTCTTAACCGTCGTATAAACAAGACCCCAGCCCACACAAAATCTCATTACCATAATGCAGATGTTTTTTTTAAAATACAGCAATGATTTTTTCCATTATATTCACGTCACCTCATCAAAGAGAAAATATTTCACTAAAATAAGAGGTATATAGGTAAAAATAATATAAGTCCTACAATAAAACCAAACCACAAAATTTCATTACCATACTGCAATATGATTTTATTTATATTGCATTACAGCAATGATTGTATGCTGCTTTAGATCAAGGAAAATAACTGTATGTTACACTAAAAAATGCTGGGTTGTTTCAACCCAAATTTGGGTCAAATATGGACAAACCCAAATGTTGGGTTAAAAATGTAATTAAAAAAATTACAGTTGAAAGTTGCGTTAAAATTTTAAATTACATTTTTAACCCAACATTTGGGTTTGTCCATATTTGACCCAAATTTGGGTTGAAACAACCCAGCATTTTTTAGAGTGTATGTATAATTAATTTTGCAATTATATCTAATATATATATATTTTAAATATATTACATTTATTTTCTCTTATTTTAGATTTTGGGTTAAATGCAACAATATTCACCTAAGAATGTTACTTGTGGGTTTATTGTGTCTTTGCATTAATTTGCAACACTGAAGTAAGCTATTTTCTTTGAATGTGCGAGACTTCAGATCCATTAACGCCTATAGGTAGATAACTAGAAGAATAAAAAAAGTGCATTAAACGGTAAAACGTCTTGAGCTACAAACCAGTATGTTTATGATCATGATAATGAAATTAAATATAAAGCAGCATAACGGACTGTTTTGGTTTAGGTAAAATAACTGGAAGCAAATAACAACGGAAGCCAAGTTACAAATAGTTTCACCTGCTCTTTTAAAGGGTTAGTTCACCTAAAAATGAAAATTATGTCATTAATGACTCGCCCTCATGTCGCTCCAAGCCCGTCAGACCTCCGTTCATCTTCAGAACACAGTTTAAGATATTTTAGATTTAGTCCGAGATCTTTCTGTCCCTCCATTGTAAATGTGTGTACGGTATACTGTCCTTGTCCAGAAAGGGAATAAAGACATCATCAAAGTAGTCCATGTGACATCAGTGGGTTAGTTAGAGTGTGTTGAAGCATCGAAAATACATTTTGGTCCAAAAATAACAAAAACTAGGACTTTATTCGGCATTGTATTGTGTTCCGGTTCTGTTGTGGATCCGCGTTCAGTGCCGCTGCTGACGTGTGTCTGGTGCGTCCGTGTATTCGGGTTCAAATAAATATGGCTGGGCAAAAAAATGTAACATTATTACCAAAATGTATTTTCGATGCTTCAACACACTCTAACTAACCCACTGATGTCACATGGACTACTTTAATGATGTCTTTATTCCCTTTCTGGACAAGGACAGTATACCGTACACACATTTACAATGGAGGGACAGAAAGCTCTCGGACTAAATCTAAAATATCTTAAACTGTGTTCTGAAGATGAACGGAGGTCTGACGGGCTTGGAGCGACACGAGGGCGAGTCATTAATGACATCATTTTCATTTTTGGGTGAACTAACCCTTTAATAATAAAAAAAATAAGGTGTGTATAGCCTTTCTGGCAGTCATTTGAAAACAGGTCATGACTCTGTTTCTGAATAAGGTAAGCGTTATCTCACCTGCATGTTCTCTCTGAGATCAGTGGCCTCCTTTAGTGGCTGTGCAGCAGATTTAAAGACTTCATCTACAGCCTTGATGAGAAGTATCCTCATACTGGCGTATTCCCGACCCCGCTTACTCTTGCGGACTGAAAGCCCCCTTTTGTGAGGCTTACCCCCACCCCGGCGGTTTGTAATGGCCACGTGGACGAAGACCCAGGCGTGTGGAAGGACTTCACCCGTCAGCGACTGGAGGGGAATGTGGCGGAAGCCGGGCTGAATGCATTCAAACGGGATCGTGTACTGACCGATAAACTCGTCCCCAATGTAGTCGTCATCCAGAACGACAAAGCGCACCATTGCCAGTTCCGGAAGGTTAATCTGAAACTCGAAACTCTCATCAAAGATTGGGTTGTCGCCATTCTGATGGACCGTTTTAGTCCTTTGCTCTGCACAATCCGCAGGGATGCCATGGATTTCAACGTAAACGTAGGGATCGACCACATCGCCTTTGGCGCCTGAACCCTTGGGTTTGGGGAAATTTTGTCCGCTAATGATCTTTATGTGAAGGAGCTGTGGAGACACTCCTGGAACTGAGTCTTTAGTATTGGCACTGAAATAAGACACCTGCTCCCTCATGATAGCCGGGCGTAGAACGTAACCACAGTTGCCATTTTGTCTAAACCAGCCGATGTTGAGGTCCATCATGAGACCTGGTGTTTGATAGTTCATTGCTACTATTTGACAGCCACATTTCCAAAAGTCCTGCGGGTTCATGTTGCTGGAATCGATTCGCATTGGGCTTGGGTAAACCCTCGCTAGGAACTTCTTGTTGTAGTTAACGAAGTCACCAGGGTGGTCAGTAGCACAACGACTGGCAAAGACCTCATTGAATGAGCAGAGCTCCCAGTGCTTCTGGTTCTGGAAAGCAGTCTGAAAATCCTTAAAACTAACAGACTTGCATAAGGTTACCATTTCGGAGAGATCCTTGGAAAGCTGGAAGTTTTTGGGTTGAACAACCGTCCGCTGTTCACTCCCCTCGTTGTTCATCCGTTGAGACATTTCGGCACCCTCGTCCTCATCCGTCACCTCGCCTTCGGAGCCGGTGCAGTTGCTCGCCAGTTTCTTTCCTTTCAGAAGAATCTTTCCCTTTAAGTCCGAGGGGGACGGAAGGTAGCTGTCGTCGAGGTTAGGAGGATCCGAGTGCATTCGGTCTCCAAGTATTTTCTTCAGGTGCTGAAACATTACCTTCTGCTGCTTCAAGGAACAGTGGTTCTCCAAGCACAGGATCAGAGGAAACTCCGACGCCACGAAAGCATACTTGTTAATGATGTCGATGACGCTGCGAAAGACAATCTGTGAGGTCATCGTGTGGCCCGTGTAAATGAGCGGTTCGTTATCGGGGCCGTCCCACACGTCAAGTTCCACACTCCTGCAACCCATCTTTAGGGCACGGATGTAGCCGGTAATGTCTGAGGGACCCTTGAACTGGTCCTCAATCAGGTATGTATTGTGAGAAGAGTTTATGTAATAGTGGGAAAGGGGTTGGTTCATGTCTTGGCATACTGTTTTCTGCTCAGGATCAAAGATGTGGCATTCCCCTGACATGAGGTAATTGGTAAATCCATCCAGGGAGAGCCATCCCTTAAGTTGCCCTTCCTTTGAGGGTTCATACTTCTGAATAACTTCCACACTGATGTCTTCGCTCACCTTCGCCATGCCTTGCTCTGCCTCTAAAAAGATCATCAGATCCTTGGTGTCAAGGAATTCCTTGTTGCTTGAGAACTGCACTAGCAAAAAATATATTTCTGGTCTCGTACAAAGGTCGTGAAAGACTTCGATGAACTCCTCCTTGGTCACGTCAGAACCGCTTTTATCCCTCGCTTTGTGCAACTCCTTGAACTTCAGCTCTATCTTGACATTTTTCACTCCGGGACTTAAGTTCTTGATCAGCTGTACGGCTGAACAAAGACTAATGCATTTTCCCCCGATGATGTCTGCTTCGTCGAATAGGTCACCCAGCCAGGACGCACGCATGTTGTCCTGACAGCTCTGAATCATATTAAGAGTGTGTTTTCCGTACGATATTAAGTACCTGAGTCCAGTCACCCATATATTTGCTACATCGGCTGAATTTGCCACTAAATCAAGCGATTCGTAGTTCTCCCCGTAGATGATGGAGAATGCGCAGTCCTCGGAAATCTGATCCGAAATCCCATTGGCCCTGAAGGTGTCTGTGTTCTTACCAGTTCGCACCTCTTTAATTGATTTTATGTCAATCTTCGCCTTGTCAGACTCTTTTTTGGACGGCTCCCACCGCAGAGACTGCATGTCGGCGTCTAGGAGAAAGTAACGGTAGTAGACTCTAGAGTTGGAGCGCACCTTCCTCAGTTCAGACCCGTCCACCATAGAATTAATGCAGTCGCTCGCACTGCTGATCTTCTTCTCTGTTGGCATGCTACTGAACGACACCGTCTTTTTCCTTTCCTTGCACCGCCTGGAACCATCCTGGAAAATAAAGCAATTTATCATCAGTATTGAACTACTAGAGTACAGGTGAAACACGAAAAATTAGAATATCGTGCAAAAGTTCATTTACTTCAGTAATTCAACTTAAAAGGTGAAACTAATATATTATATAGACTCATTACATGCAAAGTGAGATATTTCAAGCCTTTATTTGTTATAATTTTGATAATTATGGCTTACAGCTTATGAAAACCCCAAATTCAAAATTAGAATATTGTGAAAAGGTTTTCATAAGCTGTAAGCCATAATCATCAAAATTATAACAAAGGCTTGAAATATCTCACTTTGCATGTAATGAGTCTATATTAGTTTCACCTTTTAAGTTGAATTTCTGAAATAAATGAACTTTTGCACGATATTCAAATTTTTCGAGTTTCACCTGTATAATATGATGAACACTTTTAGAAAACATGCTTAAAAATATGGAGCTAATAATATGACAAAATGATTTGAATTTGAATTGTGTAAATTTGAATTATTTGCAAGTGTAATCTAACAAAACTGAATTTTAAATAGTTCTGAATTTGAATTTTTTTGGAACGAATATTGAACATCTGAAATTTAACAAACTGAAAGGTTTTTATGGCTGAATTTTATAGACATGTATTTTCAAACAGCTAGTTTTTGTGTTCTGAATTCAAATACTGCAAAATTTCAGTTTAAAAAAATACGGATTCAAGTTTTCAAGATGAAGAAATTCGGAACGTCAAATTCAGTTTTCTAAAATTCAATGTCAAAAATTCAATGTCAAAAATTCAGGTCTTACAGAAAGTAGGTCACAGGGAAGAGTAGATGATCTCGGAAAAGTCGAACAGAGCATTTTGGCCAATTAGGGACTGCAGAAGTTTTCCAGTGCGAACGTGGTGGTTCAAGAGGTTGCCGCTCTCTGACTCTGATCATGATCGCCCGGAGGTAAGTTAAACATGAATGATTTTGTGTTTGTTAGGTTAGCGTTAGCGTCTAGGTTAGCGTCAAGATTGCGTCGTACATGTAAGCATAAGGTACGAGAGGGTGTGCTATGGTGCTGTATCGTGAATACGACGCGAACCAGAGTGCTTGCAAGTGCAACCCCTTCAGACGTGACTTATTCACAAGACAGCACTAGCCTTGAGTACCGTGTATTGCTTTTCTAAAGCGATTGCCACTCAATAATCATAATAAAGCAAAACAAAAATGTATTAGTGCAACTTTCATTAAGTAAAATCACCAAAAGCCTTCAACCTTCCGCTGGAAAAAAAATAGTCCGGGCGGCAAAGACAGTCTTTATTACTGAGTCAGTCATCAGTCAGTAGAGAAGACTTTAATATTGAAAGGACAATTGCATTATGTTGGCATTATGTATAAAACCGGGTCATCTCAGTTTGGTTGAAGGCTTTTGGTGATTTTACTTAATGAAAGTTGCACTAATACATTTTTGTTTTGCTCGCGCCGCTCGCGTCCTGTCTGTGTAGTAGACACGGTGGCGTTCTAATCAATTTTACACAAAATATTACACAAAATATACTTTAAAACAAACACCAGAGACTGCTTAGACAAATGTATCACGTGCTGAGAACGCTAACCTAACAAACACAAAATCATTCTTGTTTAACTTACCTCCGGGCGATCATGATCAGAGTCAGAGAGCGGCAACCTCTTGAACCACCACGTTCGCACTGGAAAACTTCTGCAGTCCCTAATTGGCCAAAATGCTCTGTTCGACTTTTCCGAGATCATCTACTCTTCCCTGTGACCTACTTTCTGTAAGACCTGAATTTTTGACATTGAATTTTTGACATTGAATTTTAGAAAACTGAATTTGACGTTCCGAATTTCTTCATCTTGAAAACTTGAATCCGTATTTTTTTAAACTGAAATTTTGCAGTATTTGAATTCAGAACACAAAAACTAGCTGTTTGAAAATACATGTCTATAAAATTCAGCCATAAAAACCTTTCAGTTTGTTAAATTTCAGATGTTCAATATTCGTTCCAAAAAAATTCAAATTCAGAACTATTTAAAATTCAGTTTTGTTAGATTACACTTGCAAATAATTCAAATTTACACAATTCAAATTCAAATCATTTTGTCATATTATTAGCTCCATATAAAAAGGACACATTTTGTTTGATTATTCATGATTCTATTTCACTTTCAGGATACCTGCCGTTCAAAGGTTTGGGATCGTAAAGATTTTTTAATCTTTTAAAAGGTTTTTAAAAGAAGTCTCTTCTCGTAACCAAGGCTGCAATTATTTGATCAAAAATACAGTAAAAACAGTGAAATATTATTACAGTTTAAAATAGCTGTTTTCTATGTGAATATTTAGTAAAGTGTAATTTATTCCTGTGATCAAAGCTGCATTTTCAACATCATTACTCCAGTCTTCAGTGTCACATGATCCTCCAGAAATAATTATAATATGATTATCAATTTTGAAAACAGTTGCTATTTAAGACCAGTAATGCGCAAATTGCAATATAGTAAATAGGGTCATTATTGATTACATGTTGATTTTAAAATATAAACTGAAGTTGCATTTTTAAGTACGTAAATTAACATAAAATAATACAAAGTGTTATAGAGTTTTCCTGTATTTTCATTGTTGTTGTGATAATGTATCACTGTGTTGTGACCAAAAAAAAAACAAGAACATCAATGTGTCCTTTTCTTTTATACCACCCTGAGCCTGGAGGCAGGAAAATATTGAGCTACACCAGGCTTAATTAAGAAAATAATTGCATCCGTTTCACAAAGGGAGAGAAGTCTTCAGTGGGGTATGTGTGGACTAAGAAAAATTAGCAGAATCGGCCCATTTCCTTGAAAAAATCGGAATCGGCCGTGAAAAATCATGATCGGTGCTTCCCTATTTTTTTGCCTCTTCATTAAACAAAGAAGTTAGGATAAAAACAGCTAGGTAAAAACTGCTCGCAGTGTTTAAATTATGTTTTTTTACTTCCAAGTCCTTTCAGATCTGATGATAACAAGCAGAATCACTCAAGGAAAGACTTCCAGCCAGCCTTAGATAAAATCAACTGAAAAGACATTAAATCTCTCTTGTTACAAACCAGACGGACTTTATTCCCGTCATTTGTCTACAGCTCTTTTTGAGAATTAACAGATTTAGATGTTGATGTTTTCAATGTTGATAATAAAAAATAAAGAGTTGTCAAACTTTTTTTCGTGCTATTTGCAGTTACTAGTTTTAAATGGTTGACTTTTAAGGAATTCATTTGATTAATTCTAATTAAATTCTTATTTGTTAAATTTAATTAATAATATTGCTTGTAACCTGTTGCCATAATTCTATTGAGTAGATTCAGTGTATTATTTGTTACAGTGCATAAAACAACAAAATCACTATTTATAAAACATATAATTGCATTTAAATAAAGGTATTTTGAGTGTAAAAGTGGCAAATGCCTAAAAAGTGTTTTGAATATCACCGGTTTCCAATAGAATCATTAGTATGTGAATCTGTAAAACAAAAGCTGCACAATTGAGATGAAAAAGGTATGTTATGTAAAGCACTGAATTCTGGATTACTACTGGATTATCCAGACATTCATGCATGACATGGTTATTTAAATGACTTCCATAATCTTATATCCAGGTGAGAGAGAGGATCAATGAGGAAAAATGAAGCTTTAAATCTACTTTTGACTGGATCATACGGAAGCGTATTGCATTCACTTGAGGAAAAAAATCTACTCTGTTTTTCTGAATTAACGAGTTAATTATCTCAGAATTACGAGATATTTTTTCATGAAAAAAAAGCTTTTGCTCTGTTTTTCTGAATTAATGACTTAATTATCTAAAAATTATGAGTAACTCATTAATTAATAAAAACAGAGTGAAAAAATGTTTTTCAAGAAAAATTATCTCATAATTCTGAGATATTAACTCGTTAATTCAGAAAAACAGAGCAAAAACTTTTTTTCATGAAAAAATATCTTGTAATTCTGAGATAATTAACTCGTTAATTCAGAAAAACAGAGCAAAAACTTTTTTTTTCATGAAAAAATGTCTCGTAATTCTGAGATAATTAACTCGTTAATTCAGAAAAACAGAGCAAAAACTTTTTTTCATGAAAAAATATCTTGTAATTCTGAGATAATTAACTCGTTAATTCAGAAAAAAAGAGCAAAAACTTTTTTCATGAAAAAATATCTCGTAATTCTGAGATAATTAACTCGTTAATTTAGAAAAACAGAGCAAAAACTTTTTTCATGAAAAAATATCTCGTAATTCTGAGATAATTAACTCACTAATTCAGAAAAACAGAGCAAAAACTTTTTTTCATTAAAAAATGTCTTAATTCTGAGATAATTAACTCGTTAATTCAGAAAACAGTAGATTTTTTTCCCTCAAGTGAATGCAATGCACTTCCATATGATCATGAAAAATAATAATAAAAAATATATTTTCTATAGCGCCTTTAAAAGTAGCACAAGAATAGAAACAAGATAATACAAACAATGCGTTAATGAAAAACAAATGAAAATAAAATACCAAATAAAAACATACTATCAAAAGTCCAATAAAATAATAATAGTAATATGACAATCACAAACAATCATGTAAAAGCTACCCCAAACATATAAGTTTTAAGGGGCGATTTAAAAACACAGAGGGATTCAGCGTGTCTGATCTCAGCTGGCGGGGAAGGCCGAAGTTTTGGAGCAATTGAAGAAAAAGCCCGATCACCCATGGCTTTTAAACGAGTTAAAAGGCCAGTGTCCGAGGAGCGGAGATCACGTGCTGGTGTGTAAGGGGTTAAAAGCTCGGATAATGAGGTGCCAGTCCATGCAAAGCCTTATAAGTAAGCATAAGCATTTTAAAATCCACAGGGAATCTGACAGGGAGCCGGTGTAAAGAGTCCAGCACTGGAGCGATACGATCCCAGACACGATTCGAGCGGCCGGACTGTAGTTTATTAAGGCTAGCTTTTGAAACCCCGGCCAGTAAAGCATTGCAATAATCGATGCGAGAGAATACAA